ATCTACAATGTCGATTTTTACACTTAAAAATTTTTTCAATTGAAAATTTCTTGATTGCCGCCTCATGAGAGTCAGTAAAAGAATGGATGCTATTAATAGATTCCTCTTCACCTTTACCCCAAGATCTTCCCACTTAGAACTCAGGCGTCCTCAGCAAGGTCACTTTAAACATTTTTCCCTAAGATTACCAGAGCTGTAGACCCTCCCTTCACAGCTTGCCTGGTCTTTCTGGGAGTTAAGAGCTAGGAGATGTCTCTCTTACTAGGAGTACTGCTGTCTGTTCTTTGACCCCCTGTGTTTATGTGCTCAGCACCTCCTCAGTCAGGCTTCCAGACTTCCAGACTCCCAGGCTTTGCACCACCTGGTTCAGGCTCAGGACTCCTGAACGCCTTACAAGGCCCCAGTGCCCCTAGAGCCCTTAGATGTCTGTGGCCATATGGTCCACTCTACGGTATGCTGATCTGACTTTGTGCAGTTTGTTTCATGCAGTGTTCAGTTACAGCTCCTAAAATGGGCATCGCCAAATCAGAGTGTGATCAACACGAGGGATCTGAGTCATGCCATATGACACAGGAACTGAGAATGCATCACTTAGAGGATGCCATTTTATAGATATACTTGATTAAACATACATTTATTAGTATTGTGCTGGGCACTGGGCTAGCTGCTTTTAATTCTCATAACGATGGCATGTCATATTATTTATACATTTTAGAGGTGTGCTTGGCTTAAAAAGGTGAAATGATTTTCTCCAAGTCACCTAGCTAGGAACCAGCAGATCTCTGATTTCTATCTATATCCTGGCTCTCAAGCTTGCATTTTTAACCACAAAGCAAAGCATTATAGAAGAGGAAGCGTTCTTTAGAATCAGTACAGAGGGCAAAGTGAAAAGAAACTGGATTATAGATAACGAAGGGGGGGTTCTAATAATTCCAGCTGTTCACCACCAAACATCTTACTCTGTGAAGTACAGCGAGCCCTCGTTCGCTACTTGCAAGCTGGGGCTTCTTAATGGCGGGTCAGAAACATAGTGGAAGGCATTCTTGAATTAGTGGGAGCTCATAGGTGGTAGATAAGCTCTGTGGGCCTTTCCCAGTCAAATTTTTCCTGAATATAATTACCTCTCTTGAGGACATCTGTGGCCAATTTTTTCTCATGTGATGACTTATTTATTTTCTATACAACTCATAAAGACCATTCTTTTTCTATGTAAAACCAGAATGCAATGTATCCATTACTGAAATTGGCATAAGCAGGGTGTTCTCTCCCCATAGGTGAGCCTGTATAGAATCCAAATCATGTTCCACTAAGGAATAAAGAATGGCCTGAGTCATGGAAACTCAGAGATAATTGCAAAAAAAAATTTTAAGCACGTGGGAAACTTTAATTTTGTTGGATATTAGTGATCAGTGTAAAAGCAAATAGAAAAGGAAAAAAGTGATTACATTTCAAGTTATGCAATCAGTCCTACAATAATTGAGAGTGTGCTATTACTCTTTTAATAGAACCCTTAGTATTGTGATGTGCCCCTTAATGATTTCTGAAATGCTTCATATGTGCCTTTATTTTCCAGGAGTTAACAACATTTTGGTTTTCTTTTTTTACAAACACATTTTCTGTTTTGAGATAAAATGCATGGAATATACTAAAGTCCAAGTTTTAATATCTGTATTTTCAAAAAGAGTATTTTCTCTAATTAGAATATAAGTGCTATTGGAAATATCATTGAGGATGGCTATATGGGAAACTGTGGGACTAGAGAGCTTTCTTCTCCCTTATGAGCATTCAGGATTTACTTTGGGAGAAAAAAGTAATATATATTTCCTTTCTACTCCTCCAGCTTTTGTCCTCAACTACTCCTTATTGTGCCACCCTCCCCATTCTCCTTCCAAATCACATAATTTCTGCCAGTGGTCAGAAGAGACAGCATACATAATCTGAGGGGGGCCGACCATCTACAGATGCTTCCATGGAGATAATTCTAAATTATGATTATGGAGAAAAAGTGCATTCTTAAAACGATTATCACATATGATAAGCTTTAGAGAGGAAATGATATGTAAGGCTGTGGCATGTATGAGGTGAAACACTGGGCTAAAAAGAACAGAGAGGATTTAATGATAGGAACAGGTGGGATCTGTATTTCAAGATCAGACCAGATCAGGGTGGTATGATTGTAGACTAGTGATGTGTATTTCAGGAGATAGGAAGGACTCAGCAATTAAAATGAGTCGGATTTTTTTAGCCTGGAAGTCTAGAAGGAAAGTTCCACTTGAAGTAGAGGTTTTGACCAAGGCTAGGAGGTTTCTAGCCAAGGTAAAGAGCACATGCAAGGAACATAAACAGAGAAGTGGCAAGTGGAGGGTTTTTTTTGAGGAATGCTGAGCAGTTGAATTTATGGTAGAGTTCAAGAATCAACATTAAGCCAGGCTCGATGGCTCAGCCTGTAATCCCAGCACTTTGGGAGTCTAGGCAAGTGGATTGCCTGAGCCCGCAGGTTCGAGACCTGTCTAGGCAACTTGATGAGACCTCGTCTCTACAATAAATGAAAAATTAGCTGGGCGTGGTAGTGCATGCCTGTAGTTCTGGGTACTTGGAAGGCTGAGGTGGAAGGATTGCCAGAGCCCAGCAAGTTGACGCTGGGGTGGCCTTGAGTGTGCCATGGAACTCCAGTCTGGGCGAGGGAATGAGACTCCAACTCAAAAAAACAAAAACAAAAACAAAAAAAACAAGAACCAACGTTAAAGAAGAAAAGTCAGTTTGGGGCTACATTGATCCTTAGGTATCAGAGTGAACAGTTTGTAATCAGTCTGTGTGGTGATGGGAGTTTAGTCCCCTTCCTCCCAGAAGGCTGTATTTTTCATTAACTGCCACGTGTATGTACTGTCTCTCCCCTGCTGGTACTATCCTTGATTTATTTTGATTTATAGTACTAATGCTAAACAGATTCTAGATGTATTTAATGTATTGGTTATTGACTTATATAAATCACTGTGACTATATAGCTCCCTTTATACTTTATGTACTGATATTTATGTTACTAATATATGTAATAAATATTTAAAGAGTTTGTTTCATGCATTATATATACACATGTATATGGTTTCTATAAGCAGAGTTGGTTTTTAATAAGAAGACATTTGCTGGCTGGGTTCAGTTGCTCAGCCTGTAATCCCAGCATTTTGGAAGGCTGAGGTGAGTGGATTGCCTGAGCCTGCAGGTTGAAGACCAGCCTGGGCAACTTGTTGAGACCTTGTCTCTACAATAAATAAAAAATTAGTCGGGCACAGGTGGTAACGCGCACCTGTAGTTCTGGCTACTTGGAAAGTTGAGGTGGAAAGATCCCCGGAACCCAACAGGTCACCACTGGGGTGGCCATGAGTGTGAGTATGCCAGTGTACTCCCGCCTGGGCGACAGAGTGAGACTCCAACTCAAAAAATAAAAAAATAAAAAGGATACATTTACTGCCAGGTACAGTGGCTCACCCTGTAATCTCAGTACTTTGGGAGGCCAAGGTGAGAGGATCATCTGAGCCCAGGAATTCAAGACCAGCATAGGTAACATAGCAAGACCTTCTCTCTAAAAATAGAAGAAAAAAGAAAAAAAACCCAAAAACAAACCCAGGCATGGTGGCGTGCACCTGTAGTCCCCAGCTACTCAGGAGGCTGAGGTAGAAGAATCATCTGAGCCCAGGAGGTTGAGGCTCCTGGGTGCTAAACTGTGATTGTGCCAGAGTGAGACCTGGTTATATATATTTGCTTAAAGCTGATCTTTAAAAAATCTTCTTTTTAGATATTTCAATTTGAACAGATAATTAACATGTGGCCCAATATCAGGACTCACTTTTTCAAATTCTAATTCTGCCATGGACTGTTGGAAATGAAAGATCCCCCTGCAATCATCTTCTCCAACCTCTTTATTTTACAAATAAGAGGTTCATCCCAAAGTCAAATAGCCAGTTACTGACAACGCCAGGGCTAACACTCAGTTCTCTGGTATCTTTCTACCATACACCTCTTCTTATCTGACATAAGTGACTAACAAAAAAGTATGTAAAGGCCAATACAGTTACAATTTTAAAGTTAATTTCATAGACCACATCAAAATGAACCAGTATAATTGAAACACAGTAGTTATTTGTTAAAAGCATTACATTAGCAGGCATGCAAATTTTCTAAGAAATCAGTTACCGTTACTACAAATAAGTACCCCCAAATTCCTCCTAATAAAAGTTAACCTGTGGCAGTATTGGGAACAAACAGAAGGATACTTCACAATAGGAACACTTCCTCTCTTCCATATGGCTCCTTATCTTAGTTTATAATTGAGCCTCTAACAATTAGTCATTGTACCATCTGGAAACCAATGCCCTAGCACTTGAAGACCCATAAATAGTCCTACATAGTATTCACTACTTGTATCCTACATGTGTATATTTTCTAAGCTAAAATATAATTATCCCCACTAACAGTTACAACAAGCATCCTCTGTGTTAGCATACTCGCTGGGCTCTGCTGCACGTGAACTGCCTCAGTACTTGTAATTCTGGAAAACTTCTCTATGGAAGAAGCCAGGCCGATTTATCTCCCATCACCCCAAGGCCAGCAGACCAAGCACACACTACGTGCTAAAGACTAGATGAAAGAATGTGAAGAACGTTTGAACACTTCAGGTTTCCAAGGGACGGAAAAGCAGCAAAATGACTTTTTCTGGATTCGAATCAGTGTCAATTCACTAGGAAGCAAAGGCAGTTTTTACCCCTCCACTGAGCTCCGGATTTCTTTTCTACTCAAGGCCCCCAAAACACCAAAGAAGGAAGTGGAGCGTAAATCGAGCTACAGAGGGGCTGCTATTCACTCGAGAGGTTTTATTGTTTTCTCTCCTTTGTCCCCGTCCCGACCCCTGCCAGCCTCCAGGCACCGCGCTGCCCCGTGAAGCATGGAATGGCAGAAGACGTGGGAACTGAAAAGCCGCGGAACCAGAGGCGGAGGGACGGCGCGGAGGGAACAGGAGCGAACGGACCGGCAGGCCTAGCACCTAGGCGGCGGCGGCGGCGGCGGCGGCGGCGGCGGCGTGAGAATGGAGTCCCTGCGGGTCCTGGAGCTGTACAGCGGCATAGGCGGGATGCACCACGCGCTCAGAGGTGAGAGCGGATCGAGTGACCCTCCGCATTCGCTCACGGGCGCCTGTCGGAGCACCGGCGCCAGGG